GGCGCCCGGGGAGCAGTTGGGGGTTCGGTGCCTTGCTCAGGGGCACCTCAGTCGTGGTATTGAAGGTGGAAGAGAGAGCTGTACATTCACTCCCCACACCTACAATCCCTGCCGGTGCGAGACTCGAACCCGCAACCTTGGGTTACGAGTCCGACTCTCTAACCATTAGACCACGACTTCCCCACAAGATTGATAGAGAATCAAGTAAAGCCGAGCTGCTTCAGTCCAGTAAGTGTTCATCTGGAGATATTACTGCAGTTATTCTGACGCTTACTTGATAAAAATCAGTCAAGATTTGACACGAGAAGCTCCAGCTGAAGCTGGACGTTTGTACAATTAAAAAAAAGCCAACAATACATTGTATGGGTCAAAATGATCAATTTTTATTTTATGCCAAAAATCATTAGGATATTAAGTAAAGATCATGTTCCATGAAGATATTTAGTAAATTTCATACCGTAAATATATCACAACTTAATTTTTGATTAGTAATATGCATTGCTAAGAACTTAATTTGAACAACTTTAAAGATGATTTTCTCAATATTTTGATTTTTTTGCACCCTCAGATTCCAGATTTTCAAATAGTTGTATCTCAGACAAATATTGTCCTATCCTAACAAACCATACATCAATGGAAAGATTATTTATTCAGCTTTCAGATGATGTATAAATCCCAATTTAAAAAAATTGACCCTTATGACTGGTATTGTGCTCCAGGGCCACAGATGAGAAGCCGACTGATGGATGTGTTTTGTGTGTGTGTTTGTGTCAGTGTTCTGTACGAGGGCAAGGATCCGGTCCGGTCAGGATGGCAGGTGATCGAGACGACTCCGTACAGTCGTTCTGCGAGCCTGAGCTCCGGCGGTCCTGCGACGCACCGCACTTTCCTGATGTTCCGCCGAGCGCCGGACTCACAGGCGCTGAACACGCTGGGCATCACTGAGATCTCGCTGCTGATGCCTAGCAAGGGCGAGACGGCGCCGCACACCTACTGCAGAGTGGACAAGAACCTCAACACCGGCATGGTGATGATTCACTGATTCACTGATCACAGAGTCACTGGTTAACTGAGTCACTCAGACGATCAACTGTTCTTCTTTTCTTTATTTATTAAGCACTTATTGGTTTGTTACCTCCATATCATAAAAAATTTACACATTTTGCAAAGTTTGTGGTCAGTAAGATTTTTTTAAAGAAATTAATGCTTTTATTCATCAAGGTTGCATTAAATTGATCAAAAGTGACAGTAAAGACATTTATCATGTAACAAAAGATTCCTATTTCAAATAAATGCTGTTCTTTTGAACTTTCTGTTCATCTGTGAATCCTGAAAAATAAAATGTATCACGGTTTCCACAAAAATATTCGGCAGCACATCTGATTTTAACATTGATAATAATCAGAAATGTTTCTTGAGCAGCAAATCAGCATATTAGAATGATTTCTGAAGATCATGTGACACTGAAGACTGGAGTAATGATGCTGAAAATACAGATGCGCATCACAGAAATAAATTATATTATAATATTACACATTTTTACTGTATTTACTGTATATTTGATAACATGAAATAGAATAATAAAATAAAAATATCAAATAAAACAAAATAAAACTACAAAAAATGCTAACAAAACAATTAGAATACATTAAATAAAAATGAAAAAATAAAAATAAAAAAAGACTAGTAATGATGCTGAAAATACAGCTTTGATCACAGAAATTAATTAGTTTAACAGATATTCACATAAAAAACTGCTATTTTACATTATAATATTTCACTTTTTTACTGTAATTACTGTATATTTGATAACAAAATAGAATAACAATAAAATAAAAATAACTAAAATAAAATAAAGCCGCAAAAATGCTTACAAAATTAGAATACATAAAATTAAAATAAAAAAAGAATGTATGATGCTGAAAATTCAGCTTTGATCACAGAAATAAATGACATTTTACAGTGTATTCACATAGAAAACATTTATTCTAAATTGTTTTTACTGTATTTTTAATCAAATAAAGGCAGCCTTGGTGAACAGAAGAGACTTGTTTTAACTGACCCCAAACTTGTGAGCACTACTGTATGTTAGTATGCAGTGGGTTTAAATGTGTCTCAGTGTGTTAAACGAGCGCTGAGCTTGTAATTATGTTGACATCTGCTTCTCCTTCCTCTTGACACACGCTTCAGAAAACACCATCAGTTGTGAACTTCCTCTTCTGCTTTATTTGTCTGTTTCTCTAACTCTCGGTTTCTTTTCTGTTGGTTTTGATTGCTTGTGTGTGTGTGTGTGTGTGTGTGTGTGTGTGTGTGTGTGTTCAGTGGGGTCCGGCGCTGTATCTCTGCTACAAGCGTTCAGTGGCTAAAGCAAACGCTCTGGTGTATGAGGCAGGTGAGTGTCACAGACAAACACACACACACATGAATTAACGTTTCTGCATTTGACATTGAGAGCATAGGTTGCAATTTAGATATATTATTGAGATGGAAAAATGCAGTTTTACAAATGCTAGAAACGTGGCTTTCGAAGGAAAGACTTCCTGGTTCTAGTAAGAACTCTAGCTGCTGCATTTTAGTCCAGCTGGAGTTTGTTTATTAAGCGTGCAGAGCAACCACCCAATAAAGCATTACAATAATCTAACTTTGAGGTCATGAACGCATGAATTAACATTTCAGCATTTGACATTGAGAGCATAGGTCGTAATTTAGATATATTTTTAAGATGGAAAAATACGCTTTTACAAATGCTAGAAACGTGGCTTTCAAAGGAAAGATTGTTATCAAATAGCACACCTAGGTTCCTAACTGATGACGAAGAACTGACAGAGTAGTCATCCAGTGTTAGACAGTGTTCTAGGTTATTACATGCAGAGGTTTTAGGTCCGATAATTAACACCTCTGTTTTTTCAGAATTTAGCAGTGAGAAATTACTCGTCATCCAGTTTTTATATTGACTATGCATTGCGTTAGATGCTGCATTGTGGATTTGTGCCAAATGTCCCCACAAGGATAGTAAAACCTGAAATTTTTGACATTGTGGGTTCCGGCCTGTGATCCCCACGAGGGAAAAAATTGATTAAAAATAGTAAATGATGTTTATCTGAAAGTGTAAGAATGCAAACAGGTTTTCTGTAAGGGGTAGGT